GTTAGTGACATAAGAGTTTAGCACTCAGCTGCTAAGTGAAAGGTTGATTTGAACCCAGCCAGAGACCCTCACGGGGAGAAAATAACAGGTGGTCTCTGATAGAGGTTGTTAATGTTTGGAGCCGTCTTGACCCTTTTGGGGGTCGAACGCCCCTTTCACAGGGGTCGCCCGATTCATAACAGTAGCAAAATGACAGTTATGAAGTAGCACGGAAAATAATTTTATGGTTGGGTGTGTCACCACAGCCTGAGGAACTGTATCAAAGGGTCGTGGCCTTAGGCAGGTTGCGAACCACTGGTCTAGACCCTTTCAATTCATTGACCCAGTATGATTGAGTCAAACTGCCTCATAGGGCTCCTGAGGCCTCACGGGGTCAGATCACCTGGTCTTGTCTGCCATGGACCCACTGGGTGGGTTTGATTTGATTGACAGCTGAGTATTTCACCATTGTACTACCCTAGAAAGCCCTGTGTGGCAGTTCAACTGTGTCACGTGGGCCCTCTATGAGTGAATTGACTCAACAGCACCTAAGAACAACAAATTCCTCTCATATCTCTCTCCAGTCAGTCCTTTGTGAGAGTAGCTTTTCTAGCATTGGACTGCTAACCGGAAGGTCAGTGGTTTGAAACCACTAACTGCTCTGTGAGAGCAAGATGAGGCTATCTGCCCTCTTAAAGATTTATAGCCTTGAAATCCTATATAGCAGTGGTTCTCAATCTTCCTAATGCTTCAACCCAAAGGGGTCGCGACCCACAGGTTGAGAACCGCTGCTTTATAGGGTCACTATGAGTTGGGGTCAATTTAGTGGAGTTGGTTTTTGTTTTCCATCTCAGGTTATGTCTTGGTAGGCTTTCTTAAAATTTAGCTCAGTGTTTATGGAGTGCCAAAGGTATCCAATAAGTACTGACCGATGGCTATCAGGAGCATGTCTGGTTGAATAGAACAAACAAAGCCACTGCTGTGGACTCAGCAGCCCTGTAGCACAGAGTAGAACTGTCCCCTAGGGTTTCCAAGACTGTGAAACTTTATGGGAGCAGGCAGCCTGGTCTTTTTCCTAAGGAGGGTTTGAACTGCTGACCTTGGCTGAATGTAAGCCATATTAAATGATTGAGGAAGTATATGTGTGGGTCATAGCTTGCTGTATGGCAAGGGAATCACTGATCGTGAAATTCCACTCAGAGCTTGTACGTTTCTGTTGGGCTTGTCTTTGATACGTATACAAGCATACCTCGTGGTATCGCTGGTCACCCTCAACAGTCTGTAATATGTGTGCCAGTATGCCTCATGCTGTTGCTGGTAACCCTCATCAAGCAAGGCCAGAAGAAAACACTACCTGGTCCTGCACTATCCTTATAGTTGTTTCTGTGTGGGACCCCATTCGGGGTCCCTACTGTGTCATTCCTCCTCCTTGAGGGACTTCCTCTTTTTTCCCTGACCCTTCTCCAGGGACTACCCCTTCCTGTTAACACATCCAAAGTTGCAACACATCGGCCAATGAAGAGTCTCAAAGCTTAAAATGCTCCGTCCATGGCAGTCAGGCCAGTTGGACTTTGAGGGTTGGCCCTTCCCCGGTTATATTTAGGGTGCCTCCCACCTGACGAGCTCATGGTCCAGCGCTCATTCAGACAGTGTTCCACTGTGATTCCGAGGCTTGTCTAATCCTGCAGAAGTGGACCACCACATCCTTCTTCCTCATCCATCTTAGTCTGGAAACTCAGCCAGCCCAGCTAGTACTTGAAATACCGGTAGTATAGCTTCCAGCATCACAGCAATACACAAGTCACCACAGTAGGACAGACTGCCCAACGAGTGGTGATTCAGCTGAATGAAATGTGTCTACTATCAATAGATGTTAACAGTAATCAGCTGCTGAATGCAGCCTACACAAGACAAGGTGGTATCCTCCCTGGACTTCAAGAGAAATACGTGTATAGTTTATTTCCATCAAGGCTTGTTGTTCATCCTCCATTGGCCCTTGTGCAGCTCATGACTTACATTCTGAAACGTTTTAGTATGAAAAAAGAACCTCAAAAAGTTCATGGAAGATTTTCTGGCAGTGGTAGGGTTTCTGGTATATGATAAACTAGATACTAAAGGAGAAACACAACAGCTGTGAATTGGGTGTATCCTAAAAGCAGATGTACTTTAAAAGTGTTAAAAGAATGAAATGAGGCCCCC